TATGTTGATGTTTCTCGGAAGGAATGGAAAAGCAACTCTTCCGGTTGATCTAGGCCTTGCCACAAAGAGAGTGTTTCTATAATTCGAAGAGAAAAAAATAACATAATTGTAACAACAAAGAGCAATGTTAAAGTTAAAAAAAACAAAAAAACAAAAAAACAAAAAACAAAACAAGAGAGAGTATAGGACCAGGTACAACGCAAAATAGCTAAAGTCAAAAGTCAGAAGGGCTAGAAGGTGCCTGTCAGATTAACTATGCAATGCGCTCGTTTAGAATTTGTTTCAAAATAATTTTATTTTTTATATGAAAATAAAAATGTAAACGTTATTAATTTTATATAAAAATTATTTTTAAAAATATGTTTAGTAATTTTATCAAAAGATTATTTTCAGTATAAAAAAATTCATTAATGTCTCTCTCTCTTTGCTCGAGAGAGGACGAAAATAAAAAATAAAAAATGATTAAAGTCGTTTTTCATTTCTCCATCATTTTACGTTAAACTAAAAAATCGTTTTCATTTTCGTTTTTTGTCTTTATTGTGCCAAACGCCGTTTTAAAAATATTTTTATTTTTTTCTCAAAAAATGTAAAAAATAAAAACGAAATCAATTTCAAACACGGTCAATAATTCACGTTTTCCTAGGAAGGATTTTTTTTTGTGTGATCAATTCTATAAGAGCTGGAGATGACGAATTATGCTACAATTAGTGGGATTGTTGCTTTATTTTAAGTATTAATACACAGCCAACTTGTAACAAACGGGAAATCAATATATAATACCTACATTAATTATTTCATCTTAACTAATAAACGTGTCTAGTGTTGCTGTTTTTTTTTTTTTTATTAGAATAACGTGTCTGGTTGTTTACTCCTATATTTCCCGAGAAATGATCATTTGGCTTAGTTTATTAACACTGAAATAAGTTTGAAAATAATTAAATAAATACATCTTAGTTAGGTAGTCGTAGATTTCCACTTCCATCATATGGGTAATGGTTGGTCAACACTAAGAGCACCAACTTGTTAAAAAAAATTAATCACCAGATACACACATGTACAGTCTCATAATATATATATATATATATATATATCGAATTATTTTTTAAAATGCCTTAAAGTATATACCATGTTTTAAAATGCTTCCTGATTTTTCAAAACAGTTTAAAATACCCTCTGATGTATAAAAAAAAAAATTAAAATATTCTCTCTATCCAATTCCGTCTATTACCCAAACAATTTTACTGACGCGGCGTACTATTAAAATTAGAGCTGCAAGTTTGAGTCGGGCTAAACGGGCTGATCCGAGGCCCGCTAATGTTGGTCCAGCCCGGCCCGGCCCTAAATTTTTGAGCTTAGGGCCGTGTTGGGCTGGTCCTCTCTCATTTATACCGGCTTGAAGATTATATTTTCAAAGAATTTTTTTGAAAATACCTTATAAAATTCTGGATTATGTCGGTCCTAAATTTTTGAGCTTAGAATCAGGTTAGGCCGACCCTCTCTCTTTTAAAGTTGAACCAGGCCGGCCCGAAATTTCCCTTCGGGCCATTGTGTGAATATTCAAAATACATTAGTCATGTGCTTCTAAGAATATATATATATATATATAAGTGGTAAAAAAATGAACATCATCACCCTTGAAAAAACACCTAAGATAATTAATAACTACATGTAACATCATGAATATAAAGGGCCTTTGTGTTTTAAGCCTAATGCCTAAAACTCATTTAGGAAATCAAATAAGGTTTATAACATCAACAAATGGTATGACCCTTTCCTATTATTTAGCAGTCCAGAAGCTCGGGATCATCCATGTTCTTTGGATTGAATTGGCGGTTTCTTTATTCCGCGAGTCATGCGGCTCAAAAAAAGCATATTTTGCCAGTTCATAATGCATTCTTTGGAAATAGAATATAAAAAAACGGAGTTGACAGTAGCAAGATTGAAGCAAAAACTCCGAACAAAAGTTATAATTTTCATGTACAAGTAATTGGTATGTGGATAATGTCAATGAAAAGTCTTAAAAATAAAATTCATTAAAAGAGAGTTATTCTTACAAGAGATCTGCAGCATATCAATGCAGAACTTTGTTTGAGTTAACAAATTCTGAACAAGACATGGTTATTCTCTAAAATGTTATCTTCAAATATTGTCTCACATTGAGAATTAAATGAAGGGTGTGGATTTTTTATAAGCACTAAGGGCCCGTTTAGTTCACTTATTCGAATTTTTAATTTGAGTTAAGATATAATTTTATGTTATAGCTTTTTATTGTAGCAAAAGATTAAATATGACTGTTTGTGAGAATTTTTTACTATAATAAAATTTACATCAGCGAAATGAACGAATCTTAAATGAGTATTTCAACAATTCAAAAAGAAGTATTTCAAGAATAACATACAGCCATGTCAGATTGTCTCTAACATGCCAAAGAAATGTTGACATTTGGCAGGGTTGATTGTGCCATGTGGATGCCACGTGGCTTTTTTGTGTGTATGCAGGGAAAGCACTTGTAATTCAAACTCTTACAAATTGGCTTGATTAAGAGTTAACACTAATCGCAATAAGAGAAAACATGACAATGAAAAAGTGAGAATACTTAATGCGAATCCTCATAAGAGAAGTTTTAGAACAAGTATTATGTAATTAGGATTGAAAACAAATAAGAGAAAGGAGGATGATGATGATTTTAAATAATAATAATAATAATAATAATAATAAAGATTACAAACGATTCTAATATAAATCCAAAAAATTTATGATTTAATTCGGATCCTTAACAAACTCTGACTCAACTCTTTAACCCTTTATATAATAAGCCACGTTTTAAACTGACTTTGAACTTTCACGTCAATCATTCCAAATTATTTTTCTTTTTAGTGGACGTTTGGTTCATGAATTTAGAATTATAATTTAAAATCATTTTTTGATTTACGTGTATTTTTTGTGAGAAAAAATACTGTAGCGAACCACGAACCATAATTCAAATTATGATATGAATCTAACAACCCCGAAAATCAGAGAAAAACAGTGCTCTTTTTCTTTTTTCTTTTTGCTCTAAAAAAAAACAGAAAGAAACTCTTGTTCTTGTTGTAGAATTAATATATTGGAGTTCTCCACCAGATTTTAACTATTAGTTGGTGTTTTCCTCTACTAGAGAGTTTTATTTAGCTTTATTCACAAAGTAAATTGGGTTCGTTTCGATTTTTATTTTGCTCGTGTATTGGCCACCAATTGGTGTTTTTAGTTCCACTTCTGTGATATTATTGCATTCGTGCGTGTTGTTATTTGTTTGGCTGAGATGAAAGCTAGTATTGTCACCAATCTTTGTTTTGGTTCTGTTATTGCGATGTTAATGCATTAATGTGTGTTGTTGTCTGTTTGGTTGAGATGAATGCTAAAAGGAAAATTTTAGATTTGTAAGGACTTTTTTTCTGTTCCATTTGCTATTTGGATTATAATATGAAAATATTTTTTGCTTAATTTTTTAAACGAGCAATCTTTTTAATTAGTGAAAAAACCTGATTATGTAAATTTGGTGAAATGAATAGGCTTTTTTAATTGATGAAGAAAGTTGTCATTCAAATAGCTTATTTTATGATAAATTAGACCAAGATTGTTTAGAGGATTACGAGATTGCACAACTTTATATGGATTTGTACGGGATGCCAATTTTATATAGATTTTCAAAAATTTAGAATGAGTTGGGTCAATAGACGCATTTTTTCTAAAATTAGGAAACTACGGTAAAATTTGATTATGTTTTTTTAACTATTTTTAGAAACTGTGGCCGTGTTTAGAATTAATTCTGTTTTTATTTTTCACGTATTTTGAGAAAAAAAATGAAAACGTTTTTAAAACGGTATTTGATGTAATAAAGACAAAAAATAAAAATGAAAACGATTTTTTGGCGTAGTATAAAATAAGAGATAAATGAAAAACGACTTTTATTCGTTTTTCATTTTTTGTTTTTATTTTCTCCTCTCTCGAGCACAGAGTGAGACATTAATAGGTTTTTTTATACTGAAAACAATCTCTTGATAAAACTACTAAACGTATTTTTATAAATGATTTATGTCTAAGATTGAAAACATTTTCATTTTTATTTTCATACAAAAAATAAAATTATTTTAAAATGAGTTCTAAATACACCCGTTATTTTAATCATTAAATTTTTAACATTTATATCTTTGAGTATCTACGTTATAAATTTGCAGCGCATGATAGAGAATTGCTCTAATAATAAATTAGGCCAAAACTTAAGATACGTTTGGTTTATGGATTAGAATTATAAGATTAGAACTATTTTCAATTTTCGTATATTTTTCATAAGAGAAAATATTATAATAAATCATGAACTATGATTCGAATCGGAGTACGAATCCCTCAACCAAACAACTCTAACGGTTACCATAGTTTAAAAAGATATATCCTACCAAATTCCCCTAAAATTAAACCAAAAAAAGGGGGAAAAAAAACCTTCGTTTTTATTTTTTGTTTTTATTTTCTCCTCTCTCGAGCACAGAGTGAGACATTAATAAGTTTTTTTATACTGAAAACAATCTCTTGATAAAACTACTAAACGTATTTTTATAAATGATTTATGTCTAAGATTGAAAACATTTTCATTTTTATTTTCATACAAAAAATAAAATTATTTTAAAATGAGTTCTAAATACACCCGTTATTTTAATCATTAAATTTTTAACATTTATATCTTTGAGTATCTACGTTATAAATTTGCAGCGCATGATAGAGAATTGCTCTAATAATAAATTAGGCGAAAACTTAAGATACGTTTGGTTTATGGATTAGAATCATAAGATTAGAACTATTTTCAATTTTCGTATATTTTTCATAAGAGAAAATATTATAGTAAATCATGAACTATGATTCGAATCGGAGTACGAATCCCTCAACTAAACAACTCTAACGGTTACCATAGTTTAAAAAGATATATCCTACCAAATTCCCCTAAAATTAAACCAAAAAAAGGGGGAAAAAAAACCCGTGCACAGGAGTTAATTGAACGAATAGCCAGCCGATGGCGGACTAGCTAGTACACTGCTTAAAAATGGCGGGAACAAAGGTCTAGGCCCTCCATGACAGTTGACACTTTTCTTTTCCATGCGAACAATCTTCAATTTCCCCTTCTCCTCTCACTCAGTCCTATTCTTCCTTGTTGTTTCTAAAACCAAAACCCCAACCAAACATTTCTCTCTTCATTCGTTGTCATCAAACAACAACCCAAACCCAATGCCTCCCTCGACCAGAATCGTGGCCGAGTACGCCAAATCGAGCCGATCGTCGTGCAAGAAGTGCTCGAAGACCATCGACGCCAAGGCTCTGAGGCTGGGCTTCGTCTCCCGAGACGCCCGGGGCTTCGACATCACCAAATGGCACCACTTGGCTTGCTTCACCTCCGACTCCCTCGCTTCGGCCCGGGAGATCCAAGGGTTTGATTCTTTGAAGGTTTGCTGCAATTGGGTTTTTGGGGTTTTTTTTATTTTTTAAATGAATTTTTTTTATTTGTTAGAAAAGGAATTTCTATGATTTTTAGATGATTAAGCGGCTTATAATGAAAATGTGTACTAAAAAGGGGAAAAATTCTATTGTTTTGAGCTTATGGAGTGGTGGAAGAACACTTTTTGATTTGTTCGAGAAGAATTTAGTGTAATTTGATTCTTTAAAGGTTTGGTGGAATTGGGTTTTTGGTGTTTTGTTGCTTTTTTTGCTGTGTTTGAAAATAAATTTGTGTGGTCATTTTTACAAGGATTTTTTCTACTCTTTTTTTCTTTTTGTGCGAAAATGTTTTTGGAATTAAGTGATTAAGCAGCTAATAATGAAATGTGTACAAGAAAAGGGGGGGAAATCGCTTCTTTTGAGTTTATGGAGTAGTAGAAGAGCATTCCTTTTTTTTTTTTCTTTTTTTCTTTTTTTTTTGCGTTTGTGTATTCTCTTTACAACCAATCAGGTTCAGGACATGTTATTGTTATTATAATTGCAAATTGATTTAAAATTTTCTTTCTTAAATCTTGTCTTGTTTGTTTGTGATTTCAGAGTCCTGATCAGGAAGCTTTATGGAAGTTGGTTGATGCAAGCGACAAAACTCAGGAGGAGGTATGTTTTCATTTCTTTTTTTCTTTTATTTATTTAATAATATATCAAAGTTGCTGTAGTTTTGAAGGGAACAAAAATGGAAAAACAAGAAAACAAAAAAGGATAACTAGATATAAGAATGGGTGCGTATTATAAACCTCAGAGGGACTTTGAAACTTGATTCTTATGGATCACTGTCAGTTGGTTTTAGAATCCTATGAGTAGTAAATGACCAGACCCTTTTGCTTCCATTGCAGATGCAAATTACTAGGAGGATAAAAGCTTTTGTGTTTAAAATGTTTTCGAGGAATCCATTTTTTTTTTCCACTAAAATGATTAGGATTTGATTCTGCAAAAGAAAACATCTTGGCTTGTCAATCTGGTTTTCTCATTTGATATCTCAATTACCGAAGTGAATGTCTCAGATTGGATTCAATTCATCTTACCTTTTGTTTTAATCCAATAGGTTGACAAAAAAGAAGAAGATGGCGAAAAGGATCCAGAGGAAAGAAATACAAAGAAAGCAAAGGTACACTGGTGAATATGCTTTTATTGTCTATTTTTAAGTTTTTTTTTTAATATTTTTCCTGCTTCATGATCAACATTTTTAATTTCATCTGTTCTGGATTGCCTTTTTTTGAAATTTTTTTTCCTTTTCTTAACCATTGCTATCTATTTCGTTTTCTTTTTTTGAGTTCATGGTATTATTAGTACCATCTGACACATGAGGTTTGGTAATTGAATCCTCTACTGTGTTTTCTTTATTATGTTGACCATATACCAATTTTCCTCTAGTAGTTTTTTCTGCTTCTTTCTAATGGTGAACAGTTAAGTAAAATTTTTATGTGTTAATTGTTCTATGCTTGATATACCCGTTATAATAAAGTATCAACCCAATCATTAATATTGTTCTTTGATATTGACACAATTGCTTGCAGTTATCTAATTCAGAGGGCAAAGATCTGGAAACTGCATTTTCCATTAATGATATCAAGAATGAGTACAAGGTCTGATCTGCATTTTTGTTACATGTGCTCACACCCTTTCAGAATTTTTGTTATTTGCCCCAGTAAATTGGTGATACTATAGCTCTCATGTCCTGGCTTTCAATTTATCACCTAGCTGAAACTCTTTTTTGAATCAGGATGCTATACTTTCACCAAAATGGAAGGCATTCGAAACAGTTATATTTCTTGAGCGGGTGAGATACTCTGTCTTATTGATAACAATGTTTTCTGGAGAGCTTCTTTATGCTGGGTCTGTGCATGTCTTAGTAACAACATGCTGTGTGTTATGCCGTATTCCTATTAGTCTTGCGAAATTCTGTATTTGAATATTCTTTCCCTTAAGTTGGTGGGTCTGTTTCTGTTCTGATCTATTTGATTGATTCGGCCATAGTCCTTCGATTTAGGATACAAAAATGCAATCTCCAAGTTTTATAGGTTTTAAGTCTCATTTGGGGTCGTGTATTGGCACCTAGGGAGTCCATCAACCATTGGAGTTATTGTGAAGAGAAATTGTTGCTCGACATTTCTAACATGGGTTTTATGGGTTTTGCTTCTAACAGGATGATGGTCTTCATGATTCAAGTAAAATTGCCGCTTTTGATTTTGATGGATGTCTCGCTAAAACTTCAGTTAAAAGGTGGTCTTGCTCTTTTATCCTATTGTGGCTTTGTGTATGCCGTTGATTGAACTCTGTCAGAAATGTAACGAAATTGAACAACAATCAACATGGTTTAAAAGTCATATTTTATAACAGGAGCAGTAAGCTTTTCGTGTAAAGTTTGTGTAAGCGATTTCACACCATCAGTGTCCTTGTTAGTAAGGTGTTGTTATCCTCCACAAGTAATATTTCTGATGTCCAACCTCATTTGTTAAACTCCTGTAAGGGGCTATTATTAATTAAAATGCTCAAAACTTTTTGATGCATAGAACAAGAAAGTGCTTATTTAGTTGGAAACGTTTCACAAATTTGGCTCTCTAACAATCTAGGTCGCTGCTCTAATTTCAGAGTCGGTGCCGATGCTTGGTCGCTGATGTATCCTTCAATACCTGATAAGCTACAGAGTCTGTACAATGATGGCTACAAGCTGGTTCATTTCTTTTATCCATATAGCCTGTTTTAAATTTCATACAAAAAATCTTGTGTTTTGCACCAGTTTGGCATTTTAAAACCAATCTGTTCACTTATTTAAGTACCCTTTATTAGAAAATTTGTGTTGTAATATTCTTCTTTTCCCTTCTAATCATCATAAGGTAATCTTTACCAATGAATCAAATATTGAACGCTGGAAAAAGAAGAGACAAGTTGCTGTGGACTCAAAACTTGGGCGCCTCAACAATTTTATCAAGACTGTTAAGGTCCCAATTCAGGTAGTTATGTCTGATTGTTGTCTGTTTGCCCATGTTTTGTATATAGTTTTAAATGTGAACAAAGTTATGGTTCAAGCGAATCACCATCTGTATCATTTTTTTTTTCCCTTTTCACCTCTGCAATATAGTCATCTGGTTAAGATTTAAGAATATGCTTACTTCAGGAGAAGGGCATAGACCTCAACTGTGTTGCTTTTGGTTCAATAACTTGTACTTCTTAAAAAATTATCTATTGCTTTTAGTTCCATTTTGGTTCAATAGCTTTTTCATCTTAAGAAATTATTTTATTTGGCTTTAAAGCAAATATCACACACATTTGAAAAGTTGAATTTTGAATGTTTATTGAATATATGCAGCAAATATCAAACATTATTATCTAATTGGTATATGCAGATGGAAAATAAAAAAAATAAAAAATAAAAAAAGGAAAGAAAGTTATTCATTTTAGTCGCAGAATTTGGTTTTCAAACTAATTGAAATGTTTGAGAAAGTTGTGTTGGTAACATAGAGATCATGACTTCATTTCATCTCCTTGAAATTGAACCAAGCTCAGTGCGAGCTATTTTAAGTAGGTAATGGCACCTTTGAGAAAATATTGAGAAATATGCCAAGGATTTGAGCTGCATTTATATGTTTTCAGGTTTTCATTGCTTGCGGAATAGGTAAATCTGATGGGCAAGCAGAAGACCCCTTCCGCAAGCCAAAACCAGGCATGTGGCATCTTATGGGACAACACTTCAACTCTGACATTTCTATTGACATGGATCAGTTATTTTTCTCTTCTTTTTCTCTCGTGTGTGTGTGTTTTTTTTTCCCTCCCTATAATTTGTATCTTATGCTTTGGGGCAAAAGGACTATGTTACTCTTCTTAAATCTTTTTGTCTTGTAATCCTTGATCATTTGAAGGGACGGGAATAGTTGTTAACAATATTGCCTTTATGTCTGCACCATAGATCGTTTTATGTCGGTGATGCTGCTGGAAGAGACAATGACCATAGTGATGCTGATATAAAATTTGCACAGGTACCAATTATTTCTTATATCCAAAAGAACACTGTTATACTCCATTTTGGAATTTATTGCAAACTGAGTGTCTGTTTTCTTTGACCCACTAAGTTTTCGAAAAAAGCATTTGGCATACTAAAGCCTGCATTTTTCGAATTCATAATGGCACGTTAAACTTGGCTTGTTGATTTGTTAGTTTATAGTTTCTGGATAAACTACTGCTAAATGTGTATTATTTATTCGTTATGAATGTTTGATAGATGCAGTACCATAATACATAGAACTCAGTTCAATTGTTAAATCCTATGGGAACGTCTTGAACTAACCTATCTTCTTTGTGGATGTTGGATAACTTTGTTTTTGTTTTTTGTTTTTTTTTTAATTATTGTTTTTATGCTGTAACTATTTTTGGATGACTCGCTTTACAAAGCCATCATCCGATTGTTAAGTCATAAACGATTAAATGTTGAAATTGTAAAATGTCAATGTCTGTATTTCAGTCATATTAATCTGATTGGGTAGTTGGAGAGTGCTTAAATTCCAAGTCTTTATTACTTTTCAAACTTTACCCTAAGATAGGAAAAAGTATTTTATGGTTAGTATGATAATTGCCTGTATAAGTGTGGCCCTCATACATGGCCAGTTGGAAATAGCTTATGACATGGCTTGGAGTGCTTTAGCTTAGCCTTGCCAGCAAAAGAAACCTAAAGTGGAAGAATTCCTGTCGTATTTAGTGTGAACCACACCAGAGCCGGTTTTACTTGTCAATAGATTGCCCCAAACATAGGTACAATAACCTGTAGTAGACCTTCTATCAGTGATGGATCCTGCCCAATCTGCATCCAAATAGACTTCCACACTTCTCTCAACATTCTTCTTGAAGAATAGACCTTTTCCCGGTGTCATTTTCTGGTATCTTAATATTCTGTAAACAGCTTCAAGATGTTCTTCATTTGGATTGCTCATGAATTAACTTACCACACTCACAGAAAATCCAATATCTAGTCGAGTGTGGGAAAGATAAATCAATTTATCAACGAGTCGCGGTATCTTCCCTTATCAACTGGAGGACTTTCTTTTGCCAACCCTGCCTTATAGGTCGACTCTATAGGAGTTGCAGCAGGCCTGCAACCTAACATTCATGTCTCCTTAAGCAGGTCCAAGACATACTTCCTTTGAGAGACAACAATCCCCTTCCTTGACCGAGCTACTTCCATGCCAAGGAAGTATTTTAGAGTCCCAAGATCCTTTACTTCAAATTCTCTGGCAAGAACACCCTTCAATTCTTCCAATTCTTCAACATAACTGGAATAACTTCCAGTTAGGATGATATCATCGACATAGACAATAAGAACTGCCACTCTACCATCCTGTGAGTGTTTTGTGAAGCAAGTGTGATCTGCCTGCCCTTGTATGTATCCATATCGTTTGATAGCTTTTGTAAACTTATCAAATCATGCTCTCGGGGATTGTTTTAGGCCATATAATGACTTCTGCAGCTTACACACCTTATTAGTGTTCCCAACATTTTCAAAACCAGGAGGAATCTCCATGTAGACTTCATCTTCTAGGTCCCCATTTAGAAAGGCATTCTTAATATCAAGTTGGAGAAGTGGCCAATCGAAATTTGCAACCAAGGATCACAATACCTGTACTGTATTGAGCTTTGCAACCGGGGCAAACATTTCTTGATAATCAACACCATAGGTTTGAGTGAATCCCTTTGCAACGAGTCTTGCCTTATAATGCTCTAAACTACCATTAGCCGTATAATTCACATTAAAGATCCATTTACAACCAACCGGGTAGATCCGTAAGTTTCTGAAGAATTTCTGAACTTCTATTATTAATATTCTGTAACCCTACAATAGCATATATATACACAAATGACTAATAAGGGAAAAACTAACTAGCTTGATTCTCTCCTAAAAATCAGGAAACAAAATTATGAGAAAAGATCACAACCGATCTCTCCTTTTATTCCTAAAATACTTTCCTAAACTAACTTCCCTAACTTTTGACTTCCGAATTCAACACTCCCCCTCAAGCTGGAGAATATATATCATATAACCCCAGCTTGCAAATTAAGTCTTCAAAGTTAGGTCTTGGTAGAGCTTTGGTGAGGATGTCTGCCGTTTGTTGCTTGGTAGGGATGTAGTTCAATTTAACTGTCTCACTAGTCACCTTCTCTGTGATGAAATGTCTGTCAATCTCAACGTGCTTAGTCCTGTCATGATGCACGGGATTCTTGGCTATGCTTATAGCTGCCTGATTATCACACATCATCAGAATAGGAAATGAACTCATTTGTCCCAGTTCACTTAGAACCCTTTTTATCCAAATCCCTTCACAAATTTCCTGTGCTAGTGCTCTGTACTCAGCTTCTGCACTACTTCTGGCTACCACTGATTGCTTCTTGCTCCTCCAGGTAACAAGATTGCCCCAGACAAAGGAACAATACCCAGACGTTGACCGTCTATCAATGAGGTTTCCTGCCCAATCTGCATCTGAATACACTTCAGTGTTACGGTTTTCTGTCTTTATGAAGAATAGGCCTTTCCCTGGGGTCATTTTTAAGTATCTAAGAACTCTGTAGACTGCTTCCATGTGTTCCTCTGTAGGGCTGTGCATGAATTGACTTACAACACTTACTGCAAAACCAATATCTGGCCGAGTGTGTGACAGATAGATCAAGCGTCCAACAAGACGCTGATATCTCCCCCTGTCTACTGGAGCACTTTCTTTCTCGGTGCCAAGTTTCTTTTGACTGTCCATAGGAGTATCAACTGGTTTGCATCCAAGCATACCGGTCTCCTTAAGAAGGTCCAAAATATATTTCCTTTGAGAAACTACAATACCTTTACTCGATCTAGCCACTTCCATTCCAAGGAAATATTTCAGATTTCCAAGGTCTTTAACTTCAAACTCTTCTGACAAATACTTCTTCAACTCCTGTAGTTCCTTCACATCATTCCCCGATAGAATAATATCATCGACATAGACTATCTGTGGAATTCCGAAGATATTAGGCAGTAATGGGCTGTAAATAGAAGATCTACTAGGCTGTAAATAGCTGTAGATTAGTTTCCATAACTAGCTAATTAGTTTTCCTTTTCTATAGGATTTGACGGAGTAAATCAAGGAATTACCAGCTATTGGTAATCTCCTCTTCTGTATAAATGTATGTTTCGGCTGATGAAATAAACTAAGAAAAATTCTCTCTCTGTTTTTCTTCATGGTATCAGAGCAAGGCTGCCTGGACCAGTTTTTTTTTAGTTCTGATGCAAACCAGAACACAGCTTAATCCCTTTTTCTGGTGAAACTTGAAACCATATTTACTCCTTCTTTTCCTCGGTTTCTAGGTGCAAACCTAGCATCCTCCTTCGTTCCAAATCAGTGTTCCATAAAGTCTCTTAGGCAGTAGTCCATCCTCTATGGCCTCAGAAACAAACAGGAGTGTCGTTGGAACTGTATCAGGCCAAGAAGAACTCGTGAGCAATGGTGGAGCAGAAAGTTCGTCTTTTCTCATCACAAGGCACAAGTTAACCGGCCACAACTACCGTCAATGGGCGAAGGCTGTTTTGATGTTCATTACAGGAAGAGGTAAGGATGAATACCTCTATAGCACCACAGAACTACCGAAGAAGGATGATAAGAAGTTCAAGGTGTGGAATACCGAGAACAATCTGGTTATGTCTTGGTTGATCAATGCAATGGACACAGAAATTGGTCAAAATTTTCTGTTTTATGATACTGCACATGAGATTTGGACAGCAGCAAAAGAAACCTACTCGGACAGCGACAATACCGCTGATCTGTTTGATATCAAGGGAGCTCTGCATGATCTAAGGCAAGGTGAGATGACTGTGACTCAATACTATAACACTCTTAGTCGTTTGTGGCAACAATTAGATGTGTTTGAGAATCTGGATTGGGAGTCCCCTGGAGATGCAAGCCGGTACAAGAAGATCATTGAAAAAGAAAGGGTGTTCAAGTTCCTACTGGGATTAGACAAATCCCTAGATGAAGTAAGGGGGAGAATCCTTGGTACCAAGCCACTTCCAACAATTCGAGAAGCCTTCTCAGAGGTGAGAAGAGAAGAAAGCAGGAAGAAATTGATGATGGGTACTCGGTCATCCTCAAACACCCCGGAAGGATCGGCCCTGGTCTCTCAAGGAACCACTAATACTCAAGAAGGGTCGGCCCTTGTCTCCCGTGGATCCACTTCCTCCTATGATGCTCGGCAGAAAAAAGGAAGACAATGGTGTGATCATTGCCGTCGCCCAGGTCACACCAAAGAAACGTGTTGGAAAATACATGGGAAGCCCGTAGACTGGAAATCAAACAAGGAAAAGGAGGCACGTGGTTTCGTGGCTGACTCAGATGGAAAAGAAAGGAGTGCAAATGATTCGACTCTCTTCAGCAAAGAACAAGTAGAGTGGTTGCAAAAGATGTTCAGTCAAGGATCTTCTCCTAACCCGGTTATCTCAACTGCATCCACTACTCAAAGAGGTAACTTCCTAACTGCCTTACATACAAAAGCCGAGGATTCATCAGGGTGGATCATCGATTCTGGAGCTTCTGATCACATGACAGGTGATGTATCATTACTCCATGATTGCAGTCCCTGCCACGAGAATTACAAAGTTAGAATTGCATATGGTTCCCTTTCCGCGGTAACTGGTATTGGGAAAGTGCTCATCTCCGAGACACTAATTCTTAACCAAGTTCTTTTGGTTCCCAATCTTTCATGCAATTTACTGTCTATCAGCAGACTTACAAAAGACTTAAATTGCATAACTAAATTTACTGCCACTCATTGTTCGTTTCAGGATTTGGCTTCGGGGAAGATGATTGGCAATGCTAAGGAGAGCAAAGGACTCTACTGGTTTAGGGC